CTAAGAAAACATCCCAGCCGCATCTGTATCCAATTTTTCGACCCATAGATGAACCGTAACTAATTTGATGCAACTAAAATTTGAAGAACCCTATCTAGGCAGAGGTAGGGGAGGGGGAGGAGCAGGCGTGCTCACCTCGGGTGCCTGCAGCGAGAGAGGGGCAGGCGGCGTCGAGGTCGGGGTCGGGGCTTGGGTGCGCAGTGGAGGGCGGCATCGAGGTCGGGGTCGGGGATGGCGTCCGGGGCGGGGTTGAGGTCGGGGGCGGGGGCGGCGTTGAATCCGGGGTTGGGGGAGGCGTAGAGGGTGTGTGGAGAGCTTGCATCGGCCGACGGGCGACGGCGGCGGCAAGAGCGGAGGAGTTCAATTTGGGGGGAAGTGGCCGTGGGGAAGGACGAACTCGGTGGTTAAGTCAGAAGTAGCAGTAACGTGTTCCAGAAAGTGCGCTACTGCTACATTAGCTACAACGCGTTCTGGGATACGTGCTACTGCTACTCCTTTATATTTTTTCCCATTTTTCATTTATTTTTCTTCACATTTTATTTTTTTCTTTCACCTTCTTCTATTTCTTTCATTTTCAATTAACTTTCTATTTGCTTTCCATTTAATTTTATATCCCTTAGCATTAGCGAGTTTAGAATAAAACGCGCTGCTACAAAGAAATTAGCGGTAGTGCGGTTCGATGTAGATCGCTAGTACTATGTGTAGCCTATCGGCTAAGCCGTGGGAATTTTAGTAATAACGTGTTTACAGAAAGACGCGCTACTGCTAGGAAATTATCTGCAGCGCGGGTTGCACAGGCGCGCTACTGCTACTTAGCACCAGCGTGCCTTTTTGACCCACACTATTGCTAAAATTCTGTGTATAAGGTTTTCCCTAGTAGTGAAAGGGAACAATTGGTGGTGCTCAAGGAGACCCTAATGATCTTTTCTCAATCCACTGAGCCGAAAATCAATTTCCATAAATCCTCTATGATTCCAATCAATGTTGACAGTAGCCTTGCTGAGGATCTGGCTGGTGTTCTTGGCTGCAAAATTGGGACTATGCCTTTTACCTATCTTGGGCCGCGTCTGGGTACTACAAGGCCCAAGATCATTGATTTCATGCCTTTGGTGGATTGCATGGAGAGAAGGCTGACTGCCAGCTCTTGGTGTTTGCCCCGATGGAGGGGGGAGATTGCAACTGCTAAACTCTGTAATATCTTCAATGCCAATCTTCTTCCTTTGCAGCCTTGAAATCCCTCCTGGTATTTTGAAGCAGTTAGAAAGGATTCAGAGACAATGTTTATGGAGGAAATACGGTCAAAACTCTGGGCAGTCTTTAGCTGCCTGGCCCTTGGTTTGTAGGCCCAAGAATAAAGGGGGTCTGGGAATTTTGTATCTCAGTGTGCAAAATGATGCCTTACTACTTAAACACCTGCACACGGTTTATAACAAGGAGGACATTCCATGGGTGAATCTTATATGGAACTCTTATTATTATGATAGAGTGCCCCATGATACAACCTTGTGTGGCTCCTTTTGATGGAGGGATGTCTCCAAGCTCATGGACAAATTCAGGGCTGTCACTGTTGTTCAAGTTAACTATGGGGATACTACTCTATTTTGGAAGGATTGCTGGGCTGGTTCCAACAGTTTGCTGCTCCAGGATAAATTTAAGAGGCTATTCTCCTACTAGTTGGACCAAAACGTTTTAGTACAACAAGTGCTCAATACTGACAACATTTTGGGGCTTTTACATTTGCCTCTATCTGAGCAGGCTTATGTGGAGTTTCAATGCCTTTCTCAAGGCCTTGAGGGATTTGCTGGGGATAGGTTGTTGCCTGACTGCTGGTCTTGGAATGATAGCAAGAGGAGTCCATACACTGCCAAAAAATATTATGATCTTGTCCATAAGCCCATTGTGGAAAATCCTACTCTGAATTGGATATGGAAAAGCTGTTGCACTATGTCCATTAAAATGTTTGCATGGTTGGTGATTATGGACAGAGTCAACACCAAGGACATGATTCAGAGAAGACATTGGAGGATTGAGGATGGCCCTAAATGTGTTCTTTGCATAGCTAGCTCCTTAGAGGACAGAAATCATCTATTCTTTCAATGTAACTTCAGTGCTAGAGTTTGGAACTACCTCCAAATTTACTTGTCTTCCAGTTCTGATATGGTGGACATTGCTGTTCAGGCCAGAGAGGAGTTTGCCAAACCTTTCTTTGCTGAAGTGCTCTTCTTAACATGGTGGAATATCTGGATGGTCAGAAATGACAAGATCTTCAGGAAGATAGAACCATCTTTTGGTAGATGGAAGGCTGGGTTCATTCATGATCTCTCTCTCATGGCACACAGGATAAAATCAAGGCACAAGGAGGAACTTCTTCACTGGATTGCTTTCCTGCCTCCTTGATGCTCTTTTTTACCTTTACTTTTCCTTGTTTTAGCCTAGCCTTTTATTCTTGTTCTGCTTCCACTGCTTGTGGATTTGTATTTATGACTTGACTTCTTCTTTTTATTAATAAAATACTGTGGGGCCAAGCCCTGCAGTTTCCATGGTAAAAAAACATTGTATATAGACAACATACATTAAAACGATCAGTGTCAATGCTAATTTCAGCCTTTTATTTTTGGAGTCACAAATAAACATTATTTGAAATGTTAATATGTTTATCTCAAGTGGGAACAATCTTGCTGTACCATTGAAGTTATTTAATAAGGGATGCTTCTTTTCTAATTTAGGGTAAGATTTGCTTCTAGCTTCATGTTCTCAGATAATACTGGCGCATAATGCATTCAGGCTGCATTTATCAGGCTGCACCTTGTTATTGTTCAATTATGAAATTTCTTGATCCTACAAATATAATTGATAACTACACAAACATGCATTGCGCTCTGTAATGACAAGCTAGCGCAGCCTAATACCTTAACTTTCTACTCCACCCAGTTTAAAGTAGTGCATCAACACTTAGGCCTCCAATGGCAGCGCCTCTCCACACTTGTGCTATTTTCTGCTACTTCATGCGCAGGTTATTATAGGTTCTTGAAGCAACTCAACCCTGTCTCCTATAAATTATAGAAAAGCATTACTCCAGTCACATGGTGATGCCTACTGAAGCCACCAACATGTAAACTCCAAAATGCTGACTTATTATTCTCAGTCAGGATGGTGGCCACCTAAGGATGTAGTTTTCGGTGCACCTACTCAGCTACGTAGAGAATGAAGATGCACACAACATTTTGGATATTGTATGAGAACTGATTAGGCATATTAAGAAATACTGAGATAATAATGTTATCTGAGTATCTGCTAATGATCAGAAGTATTAAGAAATACTGATATAATAATGTTTTTATGGCTCTATGTCGTAGGGTGCTACATCAAAGCGTTTTCTTTATTTGTAATACTTTTTAGTGCAATCAAAATATGTGTATGTATGCTAATTCTCACATATGTATGTAATATTAGTCATGACATGCATTTGCACGTGCACATTAACTAGTATAGATAAAGAAACATCTCTATTTCAAAATTCTGAATATTACAAACACCACCACACGCACAAAATCACAGACTTCCCTAATACCGGGATCACTATAAGGCGGAAAGAAAATTATGAAGTATATTTGCATGTGAGTTACAAATAAATGACAACAGGAAGAAAAAACTATAATATAATTTGCATGTACTTTACAAGCAACATACGTAAATAGCTAAATTACAGAATAGATTTTTTTTGTAAAGTCATGCAATTAGATTATACATCACTCTTCCACCAAGATAAGGTGGAATCACTTCCTTGCTCATAATGAACTGTTGTATATGAGCACCTGAAGTAGGCAAAATAACTAGCACAGTATCATAAAGCGAGGCTATGATGAGAGTTATTAAGAGGTTATTATAGGAAAAAGTTGTAAGCAGCAAGTTATGTCAAGTATAAAATAAGGAATTTGTTTGTGCAACATGCCAGAGATAAGATTAAAAGTATTGGTAAAACAGATAAGTGAAGGGAGGGAATGACAGAGAGATAATATTCGTGAAAGATAATTATATACAAATAATAATTTCACATAGCGATTAGTGTTGAGCGGCTTCAAACAGCTTGGAGAGCCTATAAGTCAACGCATTGTACCAGACAAACATAATATACTTACATGATAGAGATGCAAGGAATGAAGGAGGTGTGTGGGGGGGTAATTTTGTTGGAAATTTCTTATAATATATATAAATAATAATTTGGCAAAGCCAATTAGAGTAATATGAGCATGCTTGGAACCATTTGGAGGACAACTCATTGCATCAGCCGAAAATACCATCGATACATGGCCAATAAGAAGACTGTTGGACGAAGAGATCAACTAATCCCAAGTATTAGCTTTTGATGTTTAGTTTTAGACTGAGTGATGTACCTCAAAATTTGTTAATGGCAAGATAGACACTAAATGGCAAGGAAGAAAGAGGAAATTACTAAGATAAGCCCCAAAGTCCATGGGCTATAAAGTAAGCCGAGGATCATAATGATATCAGTCTTTTGTTGATGGTCTTTACCATCAACATAATCAAATACATGGAAACATAAGTCTACCAGAGAAAATTTATTATGTATCTTCGAAAAAAATCTGTATATATCACATCTAGCCGCGTAAATGCACGGGTCACAATGCTAGTTAACGTACATATACCATGATGTTCTTAACATCTTGTGTGCTAGGAACTTGTACTATCTTCTTGGTACCAACTTCTGTGCTATCTTGTTTTTGCCGTAGATGGATATTTCAAATGAAGAACAAGAAGAAGAGAAATTTGAACTGGCCATTGTAGCACCATATATAGGTTTTTACGCCCAGACAAGTTCACTCAACAGCCAGATAATATCTGCAAGGTAATGACCACACAATTTGACAATTAGAAGCACATAACATGGAAGAAGATGCTTCACCGTTGAAACATATAAAGAGGAGTAGGAGCAAGCAGGCACTTCATTTCTCTCAACAACTTATTAATGTAGACTTCCTTCATGGAGATTCTGGCCAGTCCAAACCAGCGAAGCCTTCGCCGAATACACCACCGTAGAATCTAACTTCTAGTCCTTCGAGAGCGTGATCGTCGTCCCATATGGCCTCGTTGTCACTCCCGATGGCGAAGTAGTCATCGTCTGTGAAATCTTCCCATGAATAGATGGAGTCATCATCCGAGCACTCATCCCAGAAGCTGTTCTCATCTGCGTTTTGAATTTCCGCCGAGAAAAACGGATTCCGGCCATCTCGGCCAGGGGCGAAAAATACCTTCTAGCGAAAAAAAAAGGAATTTGGTCAAATTTAAACCAAATTTGGGTCAGTTTTTGGTCAAATTTCAGCCAAATTTTTTGAAAATGGCAGAAATTCGGCCGTCTTGCTCTGGGGCAAAAAATTTCACAAACCCAATAGCAGTTCTCCATGCGGGGGCCGAGGATTTTTAGCCCAGGATACTTCTCTTGCAAAATCTTATCATCAACGTCCCAGCAGCCACGCTGATCTAAGAATTTGAGGCCTTTGCACTGCTTCGTCATTGTGGCACACCTTCCCTGCGACATCCATGGGGTGCATGACTCACGATGTCTACGAGGGATATGCAATTCTTACCAAATGCCTCCAGAGCATGAGCGCCAATCTTGGTGCAGCTGCTTACATCCAAGAATGTAACTTTGCTTAGTCTTTGTGCGACATCTTCCACTATGCAGTCGCTGATCTTGCTCCTTGGAATCTCCAAAGTCTTGAGAGATTGTGCACTTGCAAAAGAAAGCACGACAAGATAACTAAGGTTTAACAAAATATTGTTGATAGGGTCATCGGTAAACAAAGTACTATATATATGATGGATAACCCTTGTTCTAGTAGGGCCGTGAAAAAAACAAAATCAAAATGGACACGGCGTACGCAATTAAGTGCTATTAACCACACCTTTTTTTTAGCAAAGAAGGGTTTCCCCCTCTGATTTCCATTTAGGGAAACCAATAAGCGAGCTACAGGCAGTAGTTCTTGCGACATCTAAAAAACATGCCCAGCTACTACTACTAAACAATTACGACATGACTCGATCGCAACAACAATAAAACAGGCGCAAATCCCGGAGGGAAATTGTCACCCCTAGGTCGAAGCACAAGCAAATAACATCACCGGGAATAATCCCACTACAAAGTTCAGAAGCAAAGCAATAGGAGCACGCCTGTGAACTCAGTCTGTAACATGCATCCTCACAATAAGAAAATAAATGATAGCCAGGAAAGCACTGGAGCATTGTCGGTTGAGGAAATGGTTGGTGATCTCGTACCATGTTCGCAACATTTCTCACTATTAGGCCAAATTCTGTGGTGCGCCGCCAGGATTCAGGCCGAGTGAGCACCAGATCAGAGTAATTAATTCCTAAGCTGAAAAGCCTGAAACGTGATGCGATCATAATAATTCCTTAACATAAAAACGTGATGGTAAGCTTGAACGAAGAAACTACAGATGGAGTAAGCCATGATTTTTTTTCAGAAAGTTGTTGATGTTGATACAAGATTTACATATATATGATGCTACGGTGTGTGGGCTAGCTAGATTTGGTAAACAGATTTCATGGTATATGGCAGATATCGCTTACATTTTTTCTTTTGCGAAAAGATATGGCTTACATTACCGTAATCAAAGTACAGTTTATGTTCTATCGTTTCACCAAAAAAAGAGTTTATGTACTATGGCTTTAGTTATCTTGTAAACGACATTTGGGATATTTTCCCCCATATTTCAACTATTACTTCTGTAACTTCACCGTATCCCCTTTCGCACGTTTTTTTGCTTTGAAAACAATTAAGCCATTCACTCCTGCGGCTGCCAAATAATCCAACGGCCTCTGACTTGGCCCATCATCATTGAAATGTCATTTACGCTCTACATGTGTTGCACCCAATAGATGGTGCATATCCTCACCCATCCACCCACCGGGCAAACAGCAGTGAGAATAACTGCAAAGTGGTTATGCCCAGTTTGAGAAAATTAGGTTCGTACAAAGTCATGAATTAGCTCTTAGCCATGTTTTTATTAGAAACAACAAAGAAAAGTCAAGGCTGCGATCGAAAGGGACAAAAAGATAAGATATTTTCCACGCCTACTATAGTTCTCACACATTAAGCTAATACAAAATAAGTTTGATTGAGCTAAATGAGATTGAATTCTTCTCACATGAAAAATATTAGAAATTTTAATTTCTTACCGACGCCCTACGATCGCCCCCTTCCAATGGTTTTCTGAATTGAAAAGGTTGGGACCTTTCACTCAACTCACGGGCCACAATCCAAATGGACTGGAATTTGGTCCATCGTCTTCCAAACATCGCACCTACTCTAAATGTTGCCATCAATCGGCCGTGCCTTGCGCTCGAAAGATGCCATACCCACCCCCACCCAACTCTCGGTGCACCAATGCCATGAAGAATAAATGACAAAGTTGTGATCTCCATCCTAGACCTAATGTCCAATCATGGTGTGCTGCCATCCAAACCCTTGAACAAACAAGAGAAATGTAGTCTACAAGAAAAAACGAAGAACTCAATGGTGACACTGATGGAGACAAAAACACAAAATATTTACTACCTATGCTTCCTGAAAATTATGACAAAACAAATAAATATGTTTCAAAGATTGTAAAAGATTTTTGGACAAAAATTCCAATTTTCAATCATTACTTCTGTAAGTATATTTGTTTTCGATCATATCCCACTAGTCATGCCTGACTCTAGTACCGCCCTCCTTCCTGTTGTGTTCTGATTTTGAAAACGCTTGGAACCATCACGCCTCAACAATCCAACAGCCTAAAATTTGGCCCATCACCATTCACACATTATGCCTGCTATATGTGCCATTAAGCGGCCACGTCTTTTGCTGAAAAGAGGGCAAATAACTCCCTCCTGCCCACACAGGCATGCACGAAAAAGACTAAATTGAGGAAATAAGGCTACTATCCAATCTGAATCAGCTCTTAGGTGCATTCTGATGCAAATGTTTCGAATAACAATTAAAGAAGTATTTTCTATATTGGAAACAACGGAGCAAAAGTCACATCTGCCACGAAAGGAGGTAAAAATACAACATATTTCCATGGCTACGCTTCTCGCAAATTCACTAAAAAAACTATGGTCTGGAATTTGTAAAGGAATTTTGGGATCATTTTTTCTTCCAAAGTACAACCATTACCCCCTAAGCTTTTATCATTTGGGAAAGAAGAACGATGCCCATCCAAACCCTCCAATGAACAAATAAGATAAACCTTCTTTTGGAAGGCTTAACAGATACTATGCATCATCATTGAAACATCATGTCTGCTCTGGTAGCTTCCCTCGAGCGATAGCACCTTATACTTAAAAATGGCAAAAATTCTTTCCCCCACAAATCTGAGGGTAAATAACTAGAAAATTGTTATTTCAATATTGTACCAAATTAAGGACATTCGGTTCGTATCCTACCAAGAGTTAGCACTTAGGCGTATTATCATTTTGATCTTTGAACATGCAAGGAGAGAAAATGTTTTCTATAGGAAACAACGAGCAATGTCAAGGTTGTGATTGAAGGGGGTGAAAACAAAAGATAGTTTCAAGTTTTTTTGCTTCTGACATATTACGTAACCATAAAGTAAAAATGAATGAGTTAAATGGGATTTATTTTTTCTAACATGAGAAAAATTGGAAATTCTAAATTCTTCCTACTACTCTCTCCTAGGCACCACCTCCCTATTATGGACGTTTTCTCTCTACGACGTATGTATCCACAACCCAATCCCTAACCAATGGACAGGGACCAATCCTTCTCTGGAAAAGAAATTGACTTGCTAGTCATGCAATCCAAATCAGTTCCCACGCTTAGCAGCTTCTAGGATAGGTTGTACAAAAGAAAAACACTAGAGCATCTCCAAACAAAAGATTAAAGTGGCATTCATCTCATGAGAAATCCAAAAAAAATAAAAAATAAAATCCGTCACCTCTAGTCTGAAATGAGCACGTGTTATAATAGTACCTAAGTCAACAAAGCGCAGACCAAAAGTTCTCATACATATTTCCCTCGAGAATTGCCCTGCAAAAGCCATTGCAAAAGTTCAAACACATTAATTACAACCTATTACACCACTACTTGTCCACGGAGACAGAACTAGTTCTGTTTTATGTCACTTCTTTGGTGCACGAGATATGTTATACCACTGCTAGTAAATCAAGGCATCAACCACCTTAATAGAACTTGACCTAAAAATAGAGCCTTCGGATCCAAATGCCTGAATTCCCTTCTCCAAAACCAACACCGTGATGTCTTCGAAGATGGCATGTGTGCATTGATTAGGTACATCCTAACAATGTGCGGACGGAACGACCTTCTGAATGTCTGTCAGGACCCTGGGTCCCTAGTATAAACTAGCGGGTAGTGCGCGGTGGCACGCCCCGCCACATGGATCGATAAGCTATTTAGTTTTTTTTGTAATCTTTGATAAGTCCTTTGAAGACTTGATTCGTGACAAAGTAGATCATACAAGGAATGGGTACATTTAGTTGGTGCCTACATACATAATCTACAACACATAGTGATAGTGAGCACTGGATGCAGAGTTGTGAAGCTCTTGTTCTTTTCTTAGACCTCAGATGTTGATCCTCCAGTTGAGTCTGTCTCTGTGATGTAGTGCTAGAGAAATGAACCTGGTTCTTCTCTCATTCTTGGTGGTTTGTTTCCTGTGTAAACAATGTTAAAGTTGTTGCTGGATGCACGTTCTAGCTCTCGACGGATTGGCAAAATATTTTGAAATTAAAGACAATTTTGTTAAGGGTTGTTGTTTGCCTTGACAACAAGGCTTGCTTTTTACTGTTTCTGTATTTCTAATTCATCTTCCTTGGTCTTACTTCATTCTTGCGGCTGAGCAGCTCTTCTACAAGATGTGAGAGATGATCCCTGGTTGTTTATTAATTATTTATTAATGCAATTTGTACATAATACGAACGTGGATACAAAGAAACTGGGAAGATTAGCTCTACCGATTGAGTTATTCGTCTTTATAACGCGATATTTAGAGCTAAGGTGGAATTGCCTATTGGGTTGTGTTGACAGAGGGCAGAAGTTAGATCTTGCTGGTTTCTCTCGGTGATATAGTCAGAGGGCAGAGACAGCTACTTTGTCTCGGTGATGTAGTGACAGAGGGCAGAGTCTAGCTCTTCCCTACTGGTCTTCGGGGTATTATAATTTTTCATATATATACTTGTTGACAACGGGTCTCCGGGAGTACTATAATTTTGCACATACTGTTGGGGCTGAATCTCTCAACCCCTCTTCTTCCTCTCGGTGTTGCTTCTCACAACACACACATCAATGGAAACACAAGTATTTGGTGCCGAGCTGCCTCACACAGCCGCCGGCCTTTTTTCTCTCTATTCTCTTGTCAAAAAAAAAACATGCTTACAACTCTTAAGTAGTACACACGCACGCACATAACCTGGCCATAACCCTCGGCCACTAACAACACGACCATGCACTAACCCACGCCTAGCTCAACTAACTTC